AAAAAAGACTAATATTTTCTCAAACCTCGTAGTGATAATTTTATTTTTGCACTATTTTCATTGGTGTCATCGGAACCTAAAAATAGCCACAAAGAGAAATAATAACTCATATTTATGGCAAAGCACAAAGGTTGATACAATATAAACTATTCTTTGGTTACGACGTAACTCTTTTACTACGACTTGAACTCTTATTTGGTATGATATTATCTTTCAAAAAATATGTTTATTTTGAAATTTCAATTTCTAAAACTATATATATATATATATATATATATATATATATATATATATATATATATATTCAAGTGAAGATATCATCCTTAATTTAAAATCTACTTTAATCGGCTATTTAAAAGTTTAAATAATTTTTTAGCCGGTGAAACTTTATTTCAGTATGACTCCATTTTGAGTTTATCGATATCTCTAGCCACAGATTTTAAATTTTGAATACCCTATATATACAATTTGTTTGTTCTTTGAATCATTAAATATTAAATTAGTTGATTGTTATTACATAACATTACATATATTGTCTTAAAATTGCCAAGTAATTTTATCTCGATACCATACTTGGCTTAACATTAATGCAAATTACTCAGATTGCATTTAAATTCATTTTTGAATATCATATCAGTTTGTTAGTAATAGTAATTTTTTTAAAATGACACACAATATAAATTAAAAAAATATTCTAAGATATCCTTATCTTATAATCTATGTATTTAAGTTGAAAATAATATTTAAAATCGATGAGATCAGCTTCTAAATTTTTTATACTCAATACCAATAAAAGATAAGAAGAATTTGTTGTCATCTCTTATTTCTGGTTCTTAGATTTTTCATACATTTTTTCTATGTTTATTTTCTTTTATCTTATTTCTTATGTCTTTCTTTCTTTTGTAACAAAAAGTTAATTTACTTCACTATAAAAGTATGATTTTTAATAGAAATTGTCTATATTAGAAATTTATTTATATATTTAGTCTTTGGTTAAAATTCTTTCATATTTTTCTTTTGGCTTTATCTAATCAGCCTAAATAGGTGCTCACACAACCACTTAAATTAAAAAATTGAAGGATACGTAATTTATATATAATCTATATATAATATGTGTATAATCGTACGTTGTTAGTATATCATGTATGTATATAAGCTATAATAAGTAAACGATAAATCTGGCTAGATATTTATGCAAATATTTCATAAGATTTCGGTTACTTGATTTTATCCATGATATGACTTCTATTATAATAATTTAGAAACTTCTCTACTAAAATTCAAAACTATCTTATTCTTTTATTTTTGAATTGCATTATATTTTAAAAAATAATCACATTAAATATTTTTTTTATTTTTTTAAAAACAATATTCACGTCATAGCATTTTTTTAAATATACTTTTTGTTACACTTGAAAATCGATATAGAAACTATCAATTATAAACCAATATCCCTCTTGTTGAAATTCAAGAAAAAATACTTTCACATAATTTAATGATTCAAAATTAATATTCTTCAGCGAAAAAAATATTATACCCTTGCAATGTTGGCTTGACTGCAGCAAAATAAAAAGGTTTTAACTTATACCCTTCAATTCCTAGAAGGTGTTAAATTAAAATTAATGATACCAATTGTATAACCAATATTTTGTTATTTGTGTGATGTCCATTTATACAAATTGACTCTTCAAACAAACTTTCTTCAAAAAGAAAAAATAACTTTTTTTTTTGAATATTAACACATTTTGTGATGTTTCTTTCTCTAGCATGTAGGTTCACTTCATTATATATATAACTAAACTTTTATTTAATTTTTAAACTCTTTTTTATTATTTGAATAAACGTACACATGTACCCTATATATTATATTTATTTTAAAAGAATTTCGCTTTATTCAAATCTAACTATAGTGTTTTAAAAAACTATAATTATAGGGTTTTAGATGTGAAAGAGTTTTATAGTTATATGGAGTAATTTTTTATTTTTTTTGCCAGAGGCAACGTAGTATTTAAATAATTAGAAAAAATAACAAATGTTCCTAACATGATTGTATATGATCATTAACTGAATTAAGTATGATAACATGATAACAAAAGATAAATTTCCTTTATTTTTATTTTAATTCAAATTTAAAAACTTTATCTATAAAATTCAAAATTATCATATATATATTTGCATTTGGCTAACATAATCAAATATAGAATAAATTAGTTACAATATATTATTGGCATTTATTAGCTTGCAACTTGACTTAACCACAATGCTAATTATATATGGTATCTTTATTCCTTTAATATATATATATATATAGATATAGATTTTCTGGAGATATTTCTTGCGTTTTAATTTACTTTGATTGTGAAAGGGACAGAACACCTAATCCCTTGACCCTTGTATTTTCAAGTATGAAATTAATGCAAAACGAATCATTAAGTTGGTTTAATTATTTTGAGATAGACGATGGACAACACAAGTTAAACAACTAGTAGATATTTGTTAACGCTTTAATCAGCATGATTATGAGAAATCTTAGTATGTGAAGTCATAATGCCTGCTGGATCACAACTTAACAAACAAAAGCATGTCACCAAAAATATTTTATATTTTATATTTAGCTACTTCTTAAACTGAAGTTAGTGGAGAAAATTAAGCAGTGGCATTTTGAATACGGGGACATGTTTCTTACTAGTACTATTTTACTATTACTTGGTGATTAGTAAAATAATTAGCTACCAAAAAAAGAAATTAACCTGCATAGTGATAATAATTAAAATGCAATATAACAAGATAATTGAACAACTAATTAAAGAAACTAGAGAAATACAAGGATATAATTAGAAATTAGATGGGGAAAACAGAAATTAGTTAGAAGAAGAATGGATAATCTAACAATTAAACTAATGATTAATCGTTACAATTAATCCAAAAAAGGTAAGAGATTGAACTCAAACATGAAATTCATACAAGGACGAGAGGTTTAATAAAAGAAATATGAGGGATATTCCCTCACTCACACTGAGTCACACAAGGAGTAAATTTAATCACCCAAAAATTGGCTAAAGAAATGAACCCAAAGCCTAAAAGTTGTTATATATAGTAGCTAACACAAATTACAAATATATATGGCCATAATAGTTAATACTCCTTTGATAAAAAAGGCTGATTGGTCTCTATCAGAGCCATAAATGAAAGACCAAAATAGTAAAACATGTATCTTATAAATAAATTTTTATTATTTATAGTTTCAAGGTTTCACGTACTAATTTTAATGATAACAAACCAAAATAATTATTAATCAAAGAACATTTACTTGTGGTAATCTTATTCTTGTACAGGAAAGAAAATATTGGTAAAGATCCAAACAAATATGAGAAAAAAATATTTTGTGAAGAATTTATCAAGGAAGATTATTTTAAGAGATTTAATCTAGAAGGAATAATATTTGAAAGTGAAATTTCAAATATTGAATGACTTACTACAATATCAGAAGAAGAATCTATGGAAATTATGGATGGAAAGCTTTTCAACATCTTGAAAGGAAAGTTGCTAAAATCATGGAGAAGATCTATTATTTTGTGGAAGGAATGGAAAAGATACTACAAGGACAAGGAATAATGTATTTTCTATGGAAAGAAAATATATTATGGATATAGTACAATTTATATTATGGAAAGATATTATTTTCCAAGATCAAAAAAGGAATATTTTCAATATAATGGGAGAAGAATATATTTTCTATGGAAAGAAAATATATTATGGGTGTAATACAATCTATTTTATGGAAAGAGATTATTTTTCAAGACCTACTAAAGGAACATTGGAGAATTATGAAAGAATGTTTCCTAAAAGTGTTGGACAAAATCTACTATGTATGGAATATTCTTACTACAATATTATAGTAAGAAATTATATCTCCATGAACAAAGAAGAGAATCACAGAGGATGGAAAGAAGGCTTATTGAATATAAAAATTATTGCACAAGGAAGTGAAGGTAGTAGTGGATCGTGACTTTGCTAATTAAGGAAGTACAATGGAGCATCAATCAAGAGGCATTTATGGTATTCCAAAGAATGCAAATGATCCTTAATTAAAATGGTCCATTTCAAAAGGAAAGCCTACATTGGCAGGAGATATCCAAGCAACGGTCTAGAGATCTGAAAGAAGTTATTACCCCAAGATTCAAGGAAACAATCATCTAACAGCTACAAGGAAGATTTGAAGAATTTTCAAAATTCCCTAGGATTAAGCAATTGCCAGAACAAATTGAAAGGGGTATAAATATACGACTCCATGAAAGAAGAAAACGCGTAGCTTTCTATACAATTGTCTATCTAACTACAAGTTCTTTATTCTACTCTTAACAAGCATTGTAATTCACTTTAGTAGATTTACTGTGTACCCAAAAGAGAGAAGAGAGACAGAAAAATATTGGAGAGCTAGTGTGTCTTAGAGGTTGTGTCATTGTTCGTTTCTTTGATGAGCGAGTGAAAACCAAAGAGTCGTTGTTGGTGAGAGAGTGAAAACCAACCCTGTCCGCGTTAGTGGTGATCGCTGAAAATCACAAAGGTTGTACTTAATTCAATTTACAAAGAGCTCTAAAAGATAACACTCTTGCAACCCAAGAGGACTGGATTAGGATACCACATTGATTCCGAACCAGTATAAAATTCCTGGTGTCATTTACTTTATCGCTCTCATATTATATTCTGTTCCTTTACTGTTTATTATGATTAACACTTGTTTAAATCGAATGAACTAACAGTTCTNCCCCCCTTGTACTTTCAATTGGTATCAGAGCAGGTCTCACATTTTTATTTTTATTGCTTAACAGCAAGTGAGAAAAGATCCATGGTAGATCATCAAATTATTGGAACAAGACCTATTCCGAGCCTGGATAGTTATTCATAATGGACCAAGACCTATTCCGAACAACAGTGATGGAAAGAAGCTTGTAAAAAGGAAATCTATATTTGACTACACAAAAGAATAGTTGAATATTATGCAAACAAATGCTAGAGCAATCAACATGCTTGATTGTGCGATTAGTGAAGAAGAATATAAGAGATTATCCACCTGTGAGACTGCTAAAGATATATGGGACATATTAGAAAATATCCACGGAGACTCCAACAGAGTTAAGGAAATTGAATCCACGTCAACTCTCGAAAGATCCGAAAATGGTGAAGATCGAGAAGATTTCGCCGTGATGCCCATGACGAGAAAAAGGAAGAGTAGAAAGAAGCGGAATAGAAAATCTCAATCCATCCAGAATCATCAAAAGAATCGGAAGAATGAGGTTCAACAACAAGAGAACATATGCTGCTACAAATGTGGTAAACATGGACATATGAAATTAAAATGTCCCAGCCTCAAGAAAAAAAAACATAGAATCTCAACTTGGAGCGACGAGGATGATCAAGAAGAAATGACAAAAATATGTCTCAAGAAAAGAGGGGAAACAGACGAGGTGTGCTTTAATGCTATCCTGGATTGTGATCTCAAGAAAAAGAATCACAAATCATGGAGCAACGAGGATGAATCTGAAGAAGAAAACAATCACGAAAGAATGGAGAATCAATATTTCATGGCAATGGGAGAAATTAACAAGGTATGTCACACTCCCATTACGTATTGCGATAACTATGATGAATTGCAGGATGATATGGAATTGGTTCTCAATGACTTTAAGAAAGTTCTAAATGAATATCATAAGTTGAGGAAGGAAAAGAAGAATTGGGAGATCCAACTTGAAGAATATAAAAAGTTGACGCATGAGAAGAAAGATTGGGAGATCCAACTTGAAGAATATAACAACTTGAGAAATGAAAAGAATGAGTGGGATATTCAGCTTAAAGAATATCTGGTGGAGAATAACTTACTTCAAGAAGAAAATTTTGAGCTTCGCAAACAAATAAGCAGCTTGCACAAATCCCCCAGCCACTACTTTGATCGATCAAAGTCGTCTCCTTGGCTTAACAGCTATAAGTCGACTGAAAAGGGATCTACTGGTAAATGTCCTACTTTGAACAAGTTGACTGAGAAAAGCTCCAAGTCAACTAATAAGGCAGCAACAGGTAAACACTATTCTTCTCATATTACATGCCACTATTGTGGCAATTCTGGACATAAAGTATTTGCATGTAGTTATGCCAAAAGTTATGTTAGATCAAAATATATTTGGAGACCAAAACAGTTACATGCATCACGAATTATTCAATCTACTAACCATGAAGGACCCAAAAAGATTTGAGTACCAAAAATAAATTAATCTGTTTTGCAGGAATTCTGAGTCCAGCCATAAAAAGGGATAAATGAAATTTGCATAATGACTGGTCAAGGCACATGCTTAAAGATACTTCAAAGTTCATACATTCTCTATAAATGATGAAGGAACTATTACACATGATGGTAAAGCTTAAGTGATTGATATGACTATAGGTTATTCAAGTTCCTTCGGATGCTTTATAAGGTGATACATATCTAGTAATATTTTTTGGTTAAATATAATATGATATGTACACCTACATATTGCTTGAGTCGACTTGCTACAACATGCTACTATTATGTTTNTGCTGCAACATGCTACTATTATGTTTGATGTTAATATTTTCCTTGACCTAGAGATTTTGAATGAACGAATTTATATTTTGCATGAACCATACCTTTTGTATAAGCATTAGGATAAGCAAGCATTTATGCATGCATTCCTTTCATGTAGTTGTGAGCTTAAGATAATTTGTGAAGAGAATTACTTCTTATATCCATTCTCTTAGTGAAAGGTTCAATATTTCATTCAAATCTGAGAAGGTTGTTTAACCTCGATGCCTCGATAACTTGTGCATATAGAGATACTCGACTGTTCCTAAGACTCAAAATTTTGGGAGGTATATATATATTGATGATTATCCTTACTTTTGCATAGGTTATTTTTTTTAATAAGAAAATAACGCATTTGCAGTGATCATCGATGTGTGTCTTAATAGTATCTATTTGTGTCACGATCCAGATTTTCTACCCTCGGGAGTCGTGATGGCGCCTACTCGTGAAAGCTAGGCAAGCCGAGTGTTATAAATTTATTACACTTTTTCCATTTTTTAATCCATTAACAATTAAGAATTAACATTATGAAATCAGCGGAATTTAATAAGCGGAAGAACAGAATGTAACCATTTAAATATTACCAATAGAAGTCCTTAACATAACTACCCAGAATTGGTGTCACAATTTCACAGACTGTCTAAGAATACTATAAATAAGGTCTGAATAGAAATACACGAATCTGTCTCTGAATAAGTAAAAGCAGAAAAGAGATAATAGAAAGAGATGCCAAGGCTCGTGGACGCCTGTAGGACTACCTCAGGTTGTCTGTTGGACTGAAAGCAGCAACCTCACTGCGGTCCAAACGCTCCGGTACTAGTATCTGCACACAATGCAGAGTGTAGTATCAGTACAATCGACCCCATGTGCTGGTAAGTGCCTAGCCTAACCTCGGCGAAGTAGTAACGAGGCTAGGACTGGACTACCAAATAAACCTGTGCAGTTAAATCATATACAGCGGAAAAATAAAAGCAGATAATTACAGTCAAAGATGGGAGGGGGAAAACATGCTTCGGGGAGTAACAAATAACAACAGAATATCAAGAGGAATATAAAGAAACCAAAATCCATTACTAATAAGGATAAGGAAAACAATTACAGAATTCACTTTCATTTCACATCTTGTTGCAGGCGTACAACCCGATCCCATTTTATATATCTCGTTGCAGGCGTGCAACCCGATTCCATTTCATATATCTCGTTGCAGGCGTGCCACCCAATCCCATTTCACATATCTTATTGCAGGCGTGCAAACCCGCTCCCATTTCTTATATCTCGTTGTAGGCGTGCAACCCACTCCCATTTCATATATCTTGTTACAGGCGTGCAATCCGCTCCCATTTCAAATATCTCGTTGCAGGCGTGCAACCCGCTTCCATTTCATATATCTCATTGCAGGCGTGCAACCCGCTCCCATTTCAAATATATCTCGTTGTAGGCGTGCAACCCGCTCCCATTTCAAAATCAACAACAATCATAAAAGAATTCCGGCAAGGTAACAAGAGTATAAAACAACATCCCGGCAAGGGAGACAATTTCATAAACAATAACATCCGGTAAGGGAGACAATTTCATAAACAATAACATCTCGGCAAGGGAGACAATTTCATAAACAATAACATCCCGGCAAGGGAGACAATTTCATAAACAATAACATCCCGGCAAGGGAGACAATAATGATAATCATCATAATAAGCATGAATAAATCAAAATGGATTCACAACAATTACCATACGAGACTCACAGGCATGCTTGATACCAACATATAGATACTTATCACCATACCTATATATCGTACTCCACAATTAACACATAACAAATAAGACTCAACTCCTAATCCCTCAAGCTAAGGTTAGACCAAACACTTACCTCGATGTCACGAACACAATTCAAGCCTCGACTACCGCTTTATCTCTTGATTCCACCACCAATTCGGTCGTATCAAGCCACAAGTTACTTAACTATATCAATAAATGCTTAATGAATTAGTTCTAATGCATGAAAATAGGTTTTTCTAAAGTTTTTTCCAAAAAGTCAAAAATTGCCCCCGGGCCCACATGGTCAAAACCCGAGGATCGAACCAAAACTCGATTACCGATTCCCTCACGAACCCAAATATATAATTTGTTTTGAAATCGGACCTCAAATCGAGGTCCAAATCCTCAAAATTAGAAAAACCTAGGTTTTACCCAAAACACCCAATTTCCCCCATGAAAACCCTTGATTTTGAGTTGAAATCATGTGAAAAGATGTTAAAGATTGAAGAAAACGAGTTAGAAATGACTTACAATCGGTTTGGAGAAGAACATTTCTTTGAAAAATCGCCCAGGAGAGTTTATATTTTGAAAGAGTTTGAAAAATGAAATATTTTTGGCTAAGTCATGAATTACACAGGCGCATATATCGCAATTGTGATGATATGTTTGCAATTGCGGCAAAAAGCTTCGCAATTGCGAAGGATGCCTATATCTGCTTTATTCGCAAATGCGAACCATTGCTCGCTAATGCGATGCCTGCTAAGGTCGCAATTGCGACATAAGCTTCACAATTGTGAAGGTTTCCTACCCCGCCCAGTCTTCGCAAATGCGAGCTCGCAATTGCGAAGCCTGCAGACCTGCAACACACAGCAGCTGAAACCTGCAACTTCCTAAGTCCAATTGTGGCCTATCCAAAACTCACTCGAGCCCTCGGGGCTCCAAACCAAACATGCACACCAACTTAAAAACATCATACGGACTTGCTCGTGCAATCAAATCCTCAAAATAACATCAACAACTATGAATTAAACCCTAAATTCATGAAATCATTCAAGAACACCAAAATTTTAAATTTCTCAACTTTAAGTCCGTTTTATACCAAACCAATTCCGATCTTTACCAAATTTTACAGATTCAACCTGATTATTATTTCAAACTTGTACCCGGCTCCAAAACCAAACAACCCGCCAGATACCATCAATTTCAAACACTTTTCATTTCCAAAAACTCATATATATTTCCAGAAAATAATTTTCTTTAAAAATTCATTTCTCGGGCTTGGGACCTCGGAATTCAATTCCGGGTATACGCCCAAGTCCCATATTTTCCTACAGTCTCTCTGGGACCTTCAAATCACGAGTTCGGGTCCAGATTTATTTTTCTAAAATATTGACCGAAGTCAACCTAAATTCATTTTAAATGCAAAATCAATCATTTTTCACAGATTTTCACATAATGGCTTTCTGGATACACGCCCGGACTGCGCACACAAATCGAGGTGAGACAAAAAGGAGGTTTTAAGGCCTCGGAATACAGAATTCATTTCTAAAACAAGTGATGACCTTTTGGGTCATCACAATTTGACATTTTCTTGCAACAAGCATGATCTTTTACATCTTTAGTTTGACGCCTCAGTTGAAAGAAGACTTGAAAAGAAAGCATCATTTATACATAAATTGCCATCATTGGCTTATATGTGCTTTAATATTATCATTGGATCTTATCTTGAATGAATTTTTGCCTGAGCTATGGGAAGGAAAAAAAATCAAGTTTTGGTTATCTTATTTTCTTTGGTTGCAACTGTCTTGGTAAGTTTCTTGACATATTTCTTATTCATTAGTTATAGAGAAATCTCATTGTGAGCACGTAATTTTTGCCTTACGAAAAACTACTCCAAAATAAATCAAAAAATAAAATAAATTTCTTTTACTGTGTAATTTCTAAATTTTGCATGGTGTTAAATATTTGTTTATGTCCGTAAAATATTTGTTTTGTTATAATTAAACAAAATAAAAATAAAAGTACATGTCTCATGTATATCTAGGTTTTAAGTACGTATTTAATTAAGTTAATTTAAATAAAATCACAAAAATATGCATTAATTCTATTTCAAATGTTTCATTGTTTGATTGATGTTTTGTCTATGTGTTAAATAATTATTATAAATTGATTAATATATTTTTGAGAAGTTAATATTATTTTAATTTTGATTTTTTTTATTAGGATTTTTATTAATTAATAAAATCAGAAAATAAAAAAAATGCATACAAGTT